GATAGTCATCCAAAGTCATTCATTTTCCTTCTACTCTCCTTACCTTTTTTCCATTGAAAGCTAGATTAACAATTGTGACGTTTAACGCAAACCCAGAGGCGTTTTCGGAATAATTTATAACATCGTGCACCCCAGCTCCAGCAAAACTTATCATTTTTTGAGACTATTTTAAAAGAAAAGCGTATTCCAAATGATTATACCGAACTTGGTGATTTATCGTCAGATGCTAACTTGATACAAATAATCAAATTTCCATTTGTCTACATTACCCTCTGTATAACTTGTGAAAATGGATTTCATCCCAAAACAAAAATAAAAGTGAAGGTAAACCATCAATATACACAAGCAATAGACGTTACACACGACACTCCCCAACTTTCACTTCAGCAGCTGCCTGACACTCTAGTGAATCAACCCCCATAAAAGCTTTACGGATGCAATAAAATTTACTGAACAATGTAGGTGACTTATATTTATGTTATCTCTTGATGGTTTTCGGGAAAGCTTCCCCTAAAAGCTTCCCAGCTCACGTGATCAATCAATAAGTTTTATATGCACACCTACAACGTTTTCACTAATAATTAAAGCTGAATTTTATTTCGGTAGACTAAAAAGTGGTTAAGAAATGTGAAAATTGTGAATTCGAATTTCTAAAATTGTGCTTACAAAAGGTAGCCGACATCTTTCGCACGAGGCCTCTCTAGAAAAGCGATTTTTGAAATGACACTTCGGCTCTCAATCGTTGGGTACTAGAACAAGCCTGCAATCACCACAGGTAAAGTGGAGCTGAGAGTTCTATACACAGAAAAACGAAGGCAGGTTAACTACAAAAAAAGAAACCTCTTTAATGTTAAGCACGCTTCACAGAACTAATGCCACACTTGCATCCTGTGGACTACCGAGAGAAGTTTATGCGCTTATATAGAAGGAAATTCTACTGTCTAACGTTAGTGGAAGAAGTGAATCTTATTTTTAGCCTTTTTTTGGTTCCCATAGCCACCAAAAGATTTGTTTCTGGTAAGGTGCCAGCAGAGTCGCACACACTTTTCTGACGACCCGTATCCGTCCTTGCCAGATTCCTGGAAAGTCAAGTAGTATTTAGGTTACGATTAGTTGGTTCCTCTTGAAATACATTTAAGTTCGCCATTTCTGAATTATGACGAAGAAAAGTTTTTTAGGTTTCCAAGGAAACCCGGTTTATTTTTGTTACTTCACTTTGTATATGATTATTTAGGCAGTCTGATTTGTATAGCTGGGTTTAGCCAGTTTATGAAACCTTGAACTCTGCTACGCTTTTTTCCCAGTCTGGATGTTCATGTGCTACTGCGCGGTGATCACTGGTTATTTGTTTACCGGTATTTTAACACGGACTCTATTGACAGAACTTTTTAGGCGTGGGTCTGCGTGGTATTTTTATCGATAACAAGTTCTATATGTTAGGTTCTTTCCTTTCATTCCTTTTAGAACTTTTATCAGGTGTATCTCAGATAAATGCTTTTTGCAAGAGATAAAAAAAACTTCTTTTGTGTTATTAGCACAGGTGTATTGTGCGCATTTGTCAAGTATAAAACTTTTTTATTTTATTGCTGGGATCGCTAACTTACTGAATCTTGTTTATCCGCTTCTATTAGAATACTTTTTTGTTCAGTGTTTAGTAGGACCAATGCACAAAATATGTAGACCCTGTGCTAGTATTACGTACTGCAAATTTTGTGATATCGAAAGAATGTAAAGTTTTTTGGGTATTTGTTGAACATTTTGATTATTGTCTCGAATCTATTGTCATTTTATCCGAGGCAAGGCCTTATTAATTCTTTTTCTGGCTAATCGCAGTTTGATTCATTTTATTTATTGCATTTAAGATTTGTATAATTTACGTTGCAGCAGCACTTTTTTCTATGGTTCTATAATTTTTACTTCATACTTTTTTAACAGTATGCTCATTGGCTTTTTCATGTGGAATTTGCACCTACACGGGAAGCATTCAAAAACCAGTGAGCAACATTTTTGTACAGAATATTGAGGAAATACTGCGCTTTTGCTGCCAAGCGTGTCCACCTTCTAAACGCGTTTTTTTTGGTCGTCAACCTTACTTCATTTTTTGTATCTAGAGTTCTTTACACCGTTCAATTCATCTTTACTGATTCCGGTTTTGCCCATGTAGCTTTTTTTGACTTATAAATATTTAATGGTAAAATGTCGCTTTAATTGTTTCCGATTTCACAACGACCATGTCATTTCGGTGGGTTGCGTAATGGACAGTGCAGGGATTTTTGAACTGTGGTTTTTAAGAATCTAAGGTTCAAGTCCCTTCAGTCACTCGTGTTCATGACTTGTTGCCTACTGTACATTGTTTATTAATGTTTTATCTGTTTATGTTTACAATTTCATGCTTTCATTTCCATTTCCAGGCGAAATTTGCGAGTAAGTTTAACTTTTAAATATACTTTTAATCGTATAACTTTAATAACTTTGTTAAATGCTCATATATCGTAGTTGTTGTTGTTTTGATTATGTAATCTACGTTTAAAGTGGTTTAAGAATATGTAAAAAAAATCGGTTGTGAATGACAAGTTAGCCGAGATAGAGGCTCATGAAATTATAGGAGAAATACAGTTTCTTATTTGATAAGACAACTTTAAAAAATATTACTTAAAAAATATCGAATACTGAAACGAAGTAGGAATGAATGACGAGGGAAAAGGCGGAAACATGTTCTGTCTAATTCTTTAGACCGTACTGTTTATTTCTCTTACGATATGTGGCATTTAACAAAGTTATTACAGTTATACTATCAAAAAGTATATTTAAAATTTGAAGTTACTCTTACATGTCGGCTGAAAAAGGAATGAAAGTAAGAAATTGTAAACACAAGGAGATAAAACATTAACAAACAATGTACTGTAAGTAACAAGTCATGAAAAAAAATGACTTGAAACTTTACCACATGTTTATGGTGGTAGCTCAAATAACCTCCAGGTACCTCGGCTTGGCAAAGTGGCATTGTGCCAAAGTCACTGGAATTTTTTCCATAAGAACGGATATTTGTTCTTGAAGAATTTCGCACCGAATTAGAAATGAACTTCTCTCTCACTCACTCGCTTATTCAATCTCTCTCTCTCTCTCTCCCCCTATATATATATATATATGAGTAATTTTGTAAGCAAGCAAAATTTTTAGTCTTCTTCGTTCGAGTCGGTAAATAACTAGGTAGTCAAGAGTCATTCATTCATATGATTTTTCATGCCTTTTATCTAGATGATTTTCAGTTTAGTGAGATGATAAGCAAAACTCGGTAAAGGCGATGTGGAATTTCACTATCCCCATTGGGTCTCCCTTAACTTCAAATCTCTCTTTTCAGTGTCGTTCTCGTTCAAAAAATTTAGCTTAACTGTTCAGACACGAAAATCAAGATTCGTTGTCTCATTTTAAAGTGCCCACTTCACTTTTATCAGTTGCTTACTTCCAATTATTGTATCTCCCATGCACATTGAATGCAATCTTTACAGCTTAAGGTGGTTTTATCCACACCTTCCGTACCTGTTAAAGGTATAGCATATTTGGATAGCATCATCAACTTTTAGTGCTCCTCTTCAATTTCTCGCATTTCTTCTGGTCTTAGTTGTAATAGTAGCTGTGGTGTAGAAAGTGAAGCCTTTTGGAATACAGAAACTAGTGTGATATGAAATCACGCAGTCCGTTGGATGATGTGTTGGAATTAGCTTTATTTATTATAGTTATTCTCTGTAAAGATCCTATGTCTGCGGAACTGGAAGTGAAAGACGTGATTGTAGGAGGATTTATGCATGTTTTAGCCAGTAGTGCAGTCTTTATATTGTTCGATATTAATCAGCAATACACTGCACGATGACCTCTGATTTGCAGTGACCTCAGTTGAGTTTCACGGTTCTTCGTTTGATTTTATTTAAACGAAACCGTGCTTTGCATACAGTACTGATTAGCTGTTTATTTATTTGTTTTTATTTACGTTGGATTTTGCTAAAAGACGCCTCAGAAATACTGCTGCCTCGATGAAAATTTGTGAAAGATTTTCGGTATTTAAGGACAGCGGTTCCGTTAATTACCATTTTTTCAGTACTTGCGCTTTATTTGCTGTCTGAAGTTCCATCGTGACAGAAGAAAGCTTACGTTGCATAACAGTGCGATATTGGTGAGTTGCCGGTAGTTGTCTGTCCAAACTTGATTTTACTTCTTTACAGGTATCAATAACCCTCTCTTTTGTAGGTCTTAGGATACTACGCTATTGAATAGCTTTTTGAAATAGCAGCGAATTCGCTTTCAGTTTCACAAAATAATTGAATTCATTTAACAGTAACTTTTTAACTGAAATTTTAGTCATAAGCGACAATAGAAATGAGTTTACTGTCAGAAGCAAAAAAGCTCATGGAAAAACGTGATGAGTTGGACAGTTTCATAGAGGAGCAACAGGCCATTTTAAAGACGGTACGTTTTGTTCTTTTTTATGGACTACATTTATAATCCCTTCTGCTGTAATAGTGCGCTAAAGGGGTGATGCATGTTTTTAATTGCTTAAAAGTTACATTGGAAGAACTAACGCGCAGTTTAGAGCGGAGTTGATATGAACTCCCCTTTAGTAGATAAAGATGATTACCCTTTGGCTGATATCGATATATACGCAGTTCGCAATGCTCGCAATGCCCTAATTTGTGCACAGAATGATCGCAGAAATCTTACCGAGCAAATTGAGTCTTTGATACATAGGATTCACGAAGAAGCTCGGACAGACAAACAAGTAAAATTGGAAGGAAGGTTATTTTTTTACTTTCCTTGACACTGTTGTTTTGCGTGATAATTGTTGTTGCTATAAGTTTGGATCACATTAGAGCATACAGTTTCAGAACGAGTAACCTAAATGGTCTCTCATGGTATTCTCACAGAGGCGTTTTCATTAATTTTTTTTTCGTTCTTCTGTGCCCATCATTCCAAAACACCTGACTAAAAGAGTAGCTTCCGCAGCAGTCTCATGTTATTTCTTCTGTTATTTATATCTTAAGAGGTTAGCAAGTTTATGGATCAAAAGTGGCCAAGCAGCGATTGTACAAATGAAGTACCAAATAATACTTCTCATGTATTAGCGTACCTTCACTTCCAACTTTATCGGTTAAGCTTTTCCGTACCACTTTTAGCGCATCAAAGACTGAAGAGGTGCATCGAACAAGTAATCGTGCCTTTGCCAAAATTGATCGAGTTGCCCCTGACTCGCCAGCTCGTGCTTCAGTAAGTCTTTAATGGCTTAATAATGCAGTCTTTTGTACAGCCCCAGTACTAAATCCTTTCTTTCGAGCAGAGCTACGTAAGTTTAGAATCAGAGGAAGTTTAACAGAGTGAACCATTTGGAAGAAGTTACTTTTCTTTTAATCACGAGTTTCTTAGAGTTCAGGGTTTGATGGCTGGCGACCCGGTGCTGCAGTTTGCATCCTTGCATGCTGGAAATTTTAAAGGAATTGAACAGCTAATACCCTTGGTTAAAAACTCTGAAGGAGTAAGATCTTAATTTACTGTTAAGTATTACAATTACTAAGGTGAGATGTAAAAATTCAACTTTTTAGGTTCCTATTAAAATAACTGTTCTAAGAGAAGGTAAGGCGTTACGGTTGGAGTTGACGCCAAAAAAATGGTCTGGGCCTGGCCTACTTGGTTGCTCGTTCCTTCCACTCACGTCCTCCAAGATGATTTGAAACATTTTATTCCCTTCTGATTGGTTGCTCCAGTTCGTATACAAGTTTTCAAAACTCCCTCTCCCATTAGTTAACTGTCAAGCAATAAAAGAATAGCAAGCATGACGCACATGTCTGGTGGTTCCGAGATCTACTTCATTTTGATGAAAATGGAGGTTTATAGGCGTAATAGTTTGAACGTAAACAAAAAACAACCCAGATCCAATAAGGCGATGAAAAGTGTGAATCCCACGCTGTGATAGAACCTTTGTAACTGGGCAGTTAACAGGTCAGATGCCGTTCCCTTGCCGTCAGCTATCCCGAAGTTCTTACAAATCCTTGAAAAAACGAATCATGTGTAGTTTCACGAAGCCGAGTTGTAGGCGGTACTTTATTCACCAAAGTTCAGCAGTTTCAAACTTTAACAAGCATGATTCTCAACTTCTCAAAACTCAAAAATACAGAGGAATCTTCGTAACAAATTCCTACAGGATATTCTCTGCTTATCTAGGCAAAGTACAGACAAGGATTAGATAAAATGAATGAATGATATGATTATGCCAAAGACACTACAGCAGCTGGGAACTGAATGAAGGGAAGCTGACCCTGACAAAACTGGATTACGAGATTTTACATCAAGTACCTGTGCAGCCTGCGCAAATTTCGTATTAAATCAGGACTATTGCGTGTAGGAGCACAGATGGAACATTACAGATGATTGTCTTGAAGTTCAAAAGCATACTTCCTTGGTGAAGCAATTAAACTTATTTTAAGCAGTTCAAAGGGCAGCTTTTAGCCATTGCAGTGTCAAGCTCTTCAGCTTCTGTAATCCTTCCCATCGCGACCACCAGCAAATGCCAGCTTAACAATATATGGGGCCTTCCCAACTGAAAATAACTACCACTGAAACAAAAAGACTTATTTCTAATCTTTTAAATTACGGTACGCAAATGTTACCTGGGCTTTCCACCGGAGTATGGTTTGCAAGAATAAGAGCTTCTGTAGCCTGTCGCGTGTTTTCAAAATCACACACGCCTGCTGAACTGCGGCTGGAGCGTTGAGGGAATATAGTCACTGTTTTTGGAACAGCTGCTTTGCTGTCAGCGAAAAGCTGCAATCGAAAGTATTGGCTCAAATTTACTGTTTTGAGTACGTGCAGAAGATAGACCAGGTTTCATTATAGGAAGTGGGCAATGATGTTCATTTGCAGCTTATCCCGACTGCTGGCCTTTGCTTAGAAACCGAGTTGCTCATCGCTAAGTAACACCTAGAAAATGACTTAAAACCCGTCAAGCAATCATCCATTTTGGCACTAACCTCTTTCAACTTATCCTCAGTCATCGTCACTGGCGCATTGTACCAATGAAGAGTACTAGTAGGACGCACAATCCGATTTCTAGCAGCTAGTTCTGGAGTGGAATATCGCTGATTGCGACTGCCCGTGTAATCCCTGGAATAAGAGCACTCAAAGTCATGACTATCATTTGGAAGAGGAATTCAGCAGCATTGAAAAAATTACTAGCCTGAAAGACGGGGTTCCGTCAGGAAGTTCAAATGGGTCACGGATGTCATGTAAAGACTGCTGCTTTGAAGGCCTTAAAGCAAGAGTTTGCCCAAAAATTTCAACTCCGTGAAGGTTGTCTATTGCTGTGTAAACCTCTCTCAAGTTGCCCATTTGAACCATAGCGGTATCCGGCTTTGACTTCATAAACTTTATCTGAAATTACTATTTGGGTCGTTTTAAGCGTAAAAAGAAGTAGGGAGGATACTTCTCATTATCTAACAAGACTAAGAACAACTACGAGAACGCCGCGCTCTCCGATAATCTGAAACTTTTCTAACTGCTTCCTAACAAAATTACTAAAAAAGTACGTCAAGAAAATAAACAGAAAAGCGAAGCTTGTACAGAAGTAATCACTTGAAAAAGATTACCCTTTCACAATTCCCATAAAGGCACATCAAGTTAAATAATTTGTCGCAGTTTAAAGATTTCTGGTCAACACCGTACACCATGACGACGGTACCATCAATTGTTTCTCCATGTGGGTAATAACCTCCTCCAGCCTCAACACCTCCACGACCATAATCTGAATACCCACCTGAAAAACCCATTAACATTAATTGGCATGAAAATGAACCCTTTTTCCCTAAGGGCAGTTCATCAGTTCAAAAGCTGAGTGAAAGCATTTTGTATTTGAACCTCTTCCGCGGCCATAACCACCTCCCCTGCCGTAACCTCCGCCTCTTCCATATCCTCCTTCATCTCGTCCATAACCCCCTCCTCTTCCGTAATAATCATCGCCTCCCCCGCCGTATCCGTCATCGTAGTCCTTATAATTACCACCATAACCGTCACCGCCATAACGGTCATCTCTTCCATCACCATATCCTCCACCATACCTGCCTCGTGGGTTGGGGCCTCGGCCTCTACCTCCTCGGTAACCTCCTCGAGATCCTAAAGAAAGCTGATGATGTCATCAAAATGTAACTACATTGCCATACACCTACTCCAATACAATCGGCGAAAAATTCAGAAGACAGAAATTGATGCTAAATTTACTTCCTGGGTGTTCACTTTCATTCATACCCTGTTGACGGGGGACATCACCGTAGCCATCAAACGAATCTAAAAATGTTAACTTTGAAAAAAAAAACTGAGAAATGCACGGCAAAGAAACTCGGAGAAATTTTCCTTGCACGTTCTAATATTAGCACAAATGAATAAAACGCAAACCTTCAGTCCCGAATATCTAATAAATAATGTTACTCGTGATGGTTACATAAACAGCAGCAAAAAAACTTCCACTATACAGTTGACGACTGGCATTGCCGGCACAAAGACGCACAGCAAGCCGCCCGATTGCAACTCCTGCAGAAAATAATGGGTCACTCAGTTTTACAGAAGTATCGAATGTCGCGTTCTGATGATAAACACAGAATTCGCGACCTTTCCTGTGTTACGTGTGCAGTCTGCGTTGGTTACATGCAACTTCTCATGCAAGTAGTACCTCTGCCACTCTGTCTGTGTCTTGTTGCAGTTGTAGCTTAGTGACGTACAGTGTCGTATGAGATGTACTGCATTTCGTATGTCGTGAGATGTAAGCATGTCCTATGCCCGTACAGGCTCTACATGCCACTTTTTTGCATGATGAGTTAATAAATTTGCAGACATCAGTTTCTTCTTCTACGTGTCTGCGAAATAAACTCGTGCTGTGACCAGTACTGATGAGATGCCTGTACTGCTTTCAAAAAGAAAAAAACATGATACTTCTGCATTTCAAATGCACTTAGCTGCTGTTATGCGTCAGCCTAATTTCAGAATACCCTCTGTGAGTGAGTCTATTTTCTGTGTCGTGTATTAACGTACCGGCTGGAACCTCTTGCTGCAGAACTATTTTCTTTTTACACTGGACAAAAACTTTAAAACTAAAAACCTGGTCCAGGCAGAGCCGTTGTATAATCCCATTGGTCTTGATCGTTACGCGTCACTTTCACATGATCGGGCTAAAAAAAAACAATACATAGAAAAATTAAGGGTTTGAAGTGCTCAAATATTTAGGAACCTTCAAAATGAAAATACCTTAGCAAATTCAACTTTTAAGGTGCAGCATCCTGAATAAATATCCGCCCCATTCATTGCGTGTTTTGCTTTTTTAGCTATATCAGCACTTTCAAACTCCACCAAAGCCTGCAGCATCGTACGTCGAATCATCGCGATTCGTTTCACAAAACCATGCGGTGAGCAGATCTGGAAAACTAAACACTAGTAAATACAAACCAGAAAAAACATTTAATGATAAAACGGTGAAAATTCAAAGCTCTTTTAGTTCAGTGGCCCCAACTTTTTTTCCAGTCAATAAATTTTAATCGTAATAAATGTACTTGTGTTTCATTACGGGCAATATGACAAATAGGGCCACCGAACTCAAAGAAAGCCAAAAATTCATTCTGTGGTTGCTAGCATTAAGACCCCTACAAAACAACCATATAGGTTCCGAACTAAACACCTGATGAATGACGTCAACATTGACGGGATACTGAGCGTTGTATATCGTAAGTATCAAAACGTGATTTGGGTGCTCAGATTCCAAACCGAGTCGCTGTATCATTTTTGAAGTTGAATAATTAAAGAGTGCTGCCTGACCAGCAACATATATCTGATTTGTCTGGGCATAAACTACGCAAGCACGAGCTCCTTCAACATCCTTTAAACATCGCCATGATGTATGTTTGAAATTCAATGAAAATGCTACTACTACAACAATTTGTAAGAACGTTCACCAAATATCTTCTATATAAACAAAATTGAAAATGTTTTTACGATCAAATTACTCATACATGGCACATACAAAAAAAGTATAAAAGATCCTCAATCTGGAATACTTCAAAATTTCCCTGGTAAATTCATCCAGAGCACTAGCAAAATCTAACTGAAAACAGTGAAAGCAATCACTTCCTCTCTAAAAATCTCCTAAAAAAAAGAAATAAATAAAATTTGAAAATAACTCCATGCAATAAATTTTAAGAAGCCTACTGTAACTAGCAGAAAGTAAACCTCGGACGCAGCGCACTACATTACTGATCTAACTCAACAAAGTAAATCGGCATCCAGAGAGACCAACAAAACTTCACTAAGTCCAAATTCAAAACCATGAATCTTCAACTTTTTTTGCGCAATACTGCTGGTGAAACCAAAAAATTATTGTACCTCAAACTCTACTAGAGCCATTCGTTTACCAGGCATACATGTTGCATAGGATATAGGACCAAAATGTGACAATGCTTCCAGCAAATCTGCCTCAGTTGCTTTGGAGCTTAAATTTCGAACATGTACGACAATCGAGGGGTCTGGATTCGTTGGGTCCACATTATCGTCACGTCGATAACGTTTTGCAGATGGTTCCTCCTCCATTAGAATTAAAATTTATTATCTATAATGAGTGAACTTAGTCATTACAACACAAACCTTATAAAAATACGCTGAACGAACTCGGTTACATCGGCTTTACGGTCGGTAGAGACCTGCCACAAGTAGACCATGCATAACACACCAAAGGCCCGTATAAATCTAACCACCCGTATACCCAGTGAAAAAAAAAAAAAACCAGACCTGAGAGTTATGGCACCACGTGATAACAAGATATTGTACCCGTGCCAACTATTATTATGTTAAACATTATGACGATGTATCCCTTCCAAAAAAAAAAAATAAATAAATAAATAAAAAATAAAAAATAAAATAAAATAGAAAAGCAAAAAGCACAAGCGCAGAAAACTGCAAAAACGCATAAATGCTTTATAAAATCCTTACAGGCCACAATATCTTCGCAACAAAACGAACTGTGAAGATATCTTCAATACACTAAATCGAAGGTTAAACAAAATACAACTTAAGAAACCGCTGGCAATTATATTATATGGGTCGGATAGTGTTCAAGATTACTTAAAAATGACTTTTCTATTGCATAAACTCAATATGCACACAACGCCCTCAAAAATTGATTAGGAGTGCATCAAGAACATAGAATAAATAGCCAGATCACCCGTTAAACAACACGTCGCGGTTACTCAATCTACGGCATCTCCCCATTTTCAGTTATAAAAAATTATGTTAATCATCTAAAAACAAAACATTTAACAATTTCCAACCAGAATATTTTAAACCTGCGTTAATGGAAATTAAGCATCCCAAAAAATTACCTTGTACGGGACAGTAATCCCAATTTATTTAAGATGAGTTCAACCGAATTATAACTAAGAACATTTATCAGGATAAGACTAACAAATGTTATAAGGATTTAAAGCATTAAAAGTAATTTATTAATAACTGTCTGTCATCTGCAGCTTTGCGTAAGATGCACTCATTTGAGAACAAGAAACAACTAAATGAAAGGTCCATATAGCAAATTTGTCCGTTTACCATCCTGCTTTGTTTTCTTCGCCGTTTCAACAGTTATTCACAGCCAGATCTATGACAAGAATGGCAGCTTAAAAAAGTCTTACACCTTAAGAAACTCAACAATCGTGTATTCTACATTTTTTAAAAATGTCATAAACTTAATGCTTACCTTACTTTCTTTTCCTCTACTCCCATACCGACAAAACCAGTAAATTGAACTAATAAAGAATAAATTTAAAAAAAAACTGAAATACGAGAAGCCAAAAAAGTCATATGCGTAAAAAACCAAGAACAAAAAAAAATTAATGTAAAGTGACGCCGATGGATGATACCAAATACACAAATGTAACAAATAAAAGCCGACTTTTCTTTGAACGTCAATCAGTTTCAATAACAACTTTTTCAATTCTCGGTACTGATTTTTCTCAAAATGCTGCCACCCCAAGATGACAACTTATTAAGAAAATCAAAATTAAAAATTTACCAAAAATTTGACCAAAAAAAACCTGTTAAAATTCAGCTAAGCGAATAATAATTTTATCAAGCAGCGACAGAGGCAACAGGAACAGATGAACAAACATACAAATAAAAAATAAACAAACTCTTACTAACAATTTAACACTTTGCTTTTTTCCAGTCGACGTTCTACGAAAAAAAATTAATGCTTAATGTTATTAAATACAAATAAAACTTCGAGCCATCGAAGATGGCGAAGAAAGGGACTAAAAACAATTTTAACAAAAGAAAAAATTACTGATACAGTAAGTGGCTGCTCCCATTCAAAAGCTTCTTCCTTTACAAAGATTAAAAATAAGTCTTGTCCTCTTCCTCAATATCATTTTAATAGATGAGAGGAACAAAAATTTCTTCAACTTCTACACCCACAAAACTCACAAAAACTCACTAAACAAAAACAATTACATCCTCCCTCATATGCTATAACATAATACCAATTACAGAAACAAAGCAGCAAACAAAACTCGCTAAGAACCACACCAATTTAAACTTGCTGTTGAAACTTATGCAGCAGCAACACTAGCATTTACAACAGTAACCGGTGCAACAATGTCGACAAAAAACAATTCGTACGACTCGTGAAAACTTCACAATTTACAGACTGCACAAAACCAAACTGCTTTTCCTCCCAAGCTTTCACTGCTGCAGAATAACCGATGGTGATATGGGGACATTTCACTGCCACTACCATAGCTGCTGCTTCCACCGCAGCTGTTAAACAGAACCTACAGCTTCACCACTGGGATATCCCAGTACCGCCTAAAAAATGAAATGGCGCTAAAACTTTGAAAACAACTAGATTATATGCTCCATCCATGATCGACGATAATTAGTCACAACAGTAAATGTATTACTGATGATATTGAAAACAAGAGTAAGAGTTGTATAGCAGCAGTATCAGCAGCAGTACTAGTATAGCAATCAGCGGCAAGACCCTATGACGCTATTACGGTTCACCTCTGTCCACTACAAAAAAAAAAAATTTACGCACCGTCACCACAACCACCAAC